ATGCTGGGGATTCTGCCCGGTGCTCTGTAACCCCCTCCATTCCCCCAGCCCTGTGCCTCTCTGGCCTGCGTGATGGCACCCGTCTCGGGGTGGCTTTGCTTTGCTTGGGTCTAGCCCCAGGCGCGGCCCCCTGCACCCTGTCCCGCAGTGCCTAGGACTAGTACAGCACTTTGCTGGAGGACTCTGGAGCCCAGCGTACACTTTAAAATTTGTTTCAAGTTTCTAAACCTCCAGCAAATTTCTTTTACTCTGGATGCTAATTGCTGAGTGATGCAAACTTGAAATTAGCAACCAGAAAAAGGAATGTTAAGCCACTGATATAATCTGATCTGAGTGTCTTCACAGCTGAGATTTCACTTCCAGTAAATGGTGTATGATCACCTTGTCCTTTCCCAAAGTTGCGTGGGTTCTCTTAAGGCTAAACAGGATCCAGAGAAGGTTTTTAAACCCTTGGTATTATTGTTTACACTGTGACAAGCAAGCACTAGAAAAGCTGAATTTTGGGCTGCCCATTGAGCTCTGTGCCATGCAGACTTCGACAATAAAAGTCCGACAAATACTAGAGGGTTCTTTCCCATATTAAAGGAGCAAAAAAGGAAAAACCTGGTGTGTGTGCTTTTGCAGTGTCCCTTTAAAAGAGCTGTGAATATTTGATTCCAGCACAAAATTGGGCAAAAAGAGGCCTGGGTAATATCCCCAATTTACTGAAGGCTTTGGGCGAATTGTTTAGCATCTCCGTAAGTGTATCGCTCTGCCGGTAAAACAGGGACAGCACCGCAGCGATGGAGATTAAATTCCTTGTAAACTGCCTTGGGTTGGGAGAGGGGCACGAAAAGCTGCTTCCTGCTCCTGTGGAAGCCTGCGTACGCTGGGCTTTAGACTCTGAATGAATTCACAGCGCCTGGACAAGCTGCTGCGTGTCCCAGGAGCGTCAGGAGCTATCTGGGGCTGCATCTATAGCCTGTGGCAAATACAGGAGATTTAGAAGGAGGTTGAGCAAAGTCGTGTTATCCCGCTTTGTGCTGCAAGCTAGGCCTGCGAGTGATCGGTTACCGCTGGTCACCAGGATGTGGCAAGCAGGTGAGCCGTGAATTACAAATCTTTTCCTTTCAGTTTTAAGGACTGAAGACATAATCACGCTGTGAACAGCAGAGAAGCCACCTCCAAGAACAACCCTCCGCACCCTCTGTTGTTATGGCAGGGGGAAGGCG